TCAACTATATGTCAACTATAACGATTTATCTTGTGAGAATTCTCAGTATGTTCTCTAGCTGTACTCTATTTTTTTTTCTCTATGTATCATGCACCTCAGTAATTTTCCATTGCTACTGTTACAAAGCCATCAAACTTAGCATTACTTAAATCTAATTCTAAAGGTTTCTATATTCCATTTTGTGATTTTGTGCCCCCTTGTTTCAATCTCTTCTCACACACTCTCTGGAGAACACCAGAAGGTTAGGGCAGGGCTGTCTGGTCTGGGATACTGTAGGGTCATAAAGCTATTCAACTGTCACCTCCCTGTGAGTGCCCTGTTGGCATTGTCTTAGGCCTGTGAGCAGCCTTCAACCTCTTTGGTAGATTCAGTGCTTATAGCTCAATGTAGTTCCTGAAGCACTCCACACACACCAGAAACAGCTCCTTCTGTTTTCTTTAAATTAAAGCAGAGATACTTGATCTAGTAAAGTAATTGCTGGGATGGTTTTGCCTTTTAAAAAACAAAGCATTACCATTAATGCAAATTTAAACAAATGTAACACTGCTCTTAATGGGAACTGCCATGGGGTATGCAAGAAAGTTCATGTCATGAGCAGACCAGGCTGCTAATAGGCTGTCTCAAGTCTTGCTGGCCACATCTTCTCTTTAAGAACTCCAAGAACCGTACAGATGTCTTTTAATTATACTTCAACAGCTAAATACCCTGCTTGCTTTGTGGGAATAACTTCCATCTTGGGCAATTCACTGTGAAGAATGGCAGTTGCAAATAGATTCCTCTCCCTTCGTGGATTTATTTCATGGAAAAAGGTTATGGGGGAGTAAAGTTCTGGGGAAGTAAATCCAGCCTCACACATGGGACATATTCTTTCATGTGTAGGCCTCCAGCAATTTGTTCTCTCACAGCTCATGTATTAGAAGAACTTGGGAGCAGTACAAGAAACTTAGAGATGCAACATTACAGTACTAAATAAGGAAACTCCTTGTCTTTCTTTAGTTTTGAATCTGTCTTAAATGCTTTTTTTTTTGTCTTTGGTCATTGTAGTCATATCGCTTACCAGCATTGCCTGTACAGATATGCTGGGGACTTTTTTGTGGTCCTGTTAGTTGACTGTCCTGGTGCATAGCTTTTTGGCTTTCGGGGCTCCTGTACAGTATGCCATACAACAGCAATAGGGGTAACTAAATAGAGAAGTGTAGTGGCATATGTAAATTACTTTCAAGTTCTTCAGTGAAAAGCACTTTCCGAATGGAAATGATTTTTATTATTATTATTGACTTCAATTGCAGTCCATTTATGCCTCTGGACAATGGATACCAACAAGAGAGCTTTTCTTCCCTGTAGCAGTCCTAGCTCTGTGAAGTTACTCTTTGCTCCAAAGACTCTTAAGTTCCTTGCATGGTTCTTCTTCCTCTCTCTTTGCCCACTCCCAATTGAGACTGTCTAGAACAACTTTATTTCTAAGGGTTTGCATTACATTCTTGATTATAGCTTGTGTGTGAAAGAAAAGGCTTTAAAACGTGACTTTGTTGGGCTGCAATCTTTTTTGAAAAAGTGAGAGCTCTGCTGACAAGGCCTGAGGATCCTTGCACTCTGGGAACAGCACTGGTTACTGCAGAACTCAGGATGAAAATGGGGAGTCAGCAATACTTGAGGTCACTTTATTTCTTTTTGTCCCCACTGAACACAGCAGCAATTGAAATGAATTTTACTTGCAAAGAAGCCTCCTTTTATTTCTGTTTGACTTTTAATAACCTGCCTTGTCTGCCCTCATGACTCAAGCTGTGGCAGCATGGAGTCCCCCAATGGCTCAGGTGGCATTTTGAAAGCCATGGGACATGTCTTTCTTCCTTGAAAATCTGTCTAGTGAAAAAGCAGTTTCTTATTTTCACAGGTTTGTTGTTCCCCTGTGTGGGAGGCAGTCCCTATTTCGTTTCCTCCACTGCCATTCTCATCCCCCATATTTCCTTTACAATGTCTTCTCTGTGTCTGGGCATCAATAGCTGTGCTTCACCCTCCTCAAGGCTCCGACTGGTGGGGATTTGCCTTAACAGCCAGTCCTTTCGTAGCAGAGCTTTTTCTAAGACCCCTTGCTCCCTTGGGAGAGGCTGTCAGCCCACACAGCTTGTCCTGAACAAGGGAATATTTGAAGGTTTTACTTAACTCTCTTTCACATTTTTTCACAGATTAGTATTTTTTTAAACCCTGTTATGTTGTTTTAATTGAGTCTTGCCACCAAAACAAATGAACATTGTGTCACCACATCTCAGTTCCTTTCATACAGCCGCAGCTGAGAAAGTTTGGAGATGGTGCTACCTGCAGAAATGTTGAAGCCAATGCTATGTATAATCGTGATGGATTGCATTCAAACTGCTCCATACATAAATCTGGTCACACCAGAACAAGAACTGTGGAAAGTATATAACGTTAATGTATACTCATTACATTCCTCCTTTCACAGGCTCCAAGGCTGTCAGGCTGTCAGGGGGGTAGGGAACTTGGAGTAATGAGGAGTTAGATTTAAACATTTTACTAGAAATCATTACAGTTCTTCATCAAAAGGGGAATGCCCTTTAAAAAACAGTGCTTCTGTGATGTACAATGGCTCCTAAGAGGTAATGAGTTCTACATTTGTTGTCTTTTTATTGGTTGCAAAGAAGTTTTTCTCATTTTGTAAGTTTATTGAAAAAGGCAAGATTTAAAAAAACAACACCTTGCAAACTCTGCTTAAAATTTATAGCACACCTTTCTACTCCCTTTGAAACAAAAGACAAATTTCCTACGGATTTTATCAGGAACAGTGTAAAGCCCTAAAAAGATAAGTAATGTTCTTTATACCTCATGTGGAAGTGTGTCATTGGGTTCCTCCCTGGATGGTTTTGGCTGTATCTTTACAAGCATAAACCAAGGACCGAATTTGGCCCTGCAGTTAACGTTTTGCTTATTCAATTCACATAACCTCTACTCAAAATGAAGGGCTCACTGGCCCACAGAGTGGGGAGGAGGAGTATAGAGCAGGCAGCCATGCAAGGTAGCATGTCTCCCTCCATGGCTAGGAGTAGCCACACAAATCAGTACCTGGAGTGATATTTTTGAGCTCCCATGCCTTACACTGGTGCTTCTGTCTCTCATTTCACTCATCTTTCAGAGCTGCTGAGCAGTCAGTGCCCCTTAAAGTCCTTCTCTCTTTTTTCAGGGGCGTTAAGTGTGGGTTCAGTCATGTAACTTAAGTCCTAGATCTAAAACCTTTGCTGAGGAGCTTGGCTGGCTCAGGTGGAGGATGCCATGTTCCATCAGGTATTTTTTGGAGAAGAGTATTGCTTTAATATCCAGCTCAAAAAGAGGGAATTTCCTTTCCCAGCAGACTGAGCAGGTAGGTCTGTTGCTGATCACCCTGTATGTGGTTTATGTAACTGTTTTTTTGCGTGCCGAAGGCCCTAGCTGGTGATAGGGCTGCCAGGCTCCATTGCCAGCAGTGTGCTGGTGGCTCTAAGGCTTCTGTCTGACTTCCTACAGCTGCAAATGCTACAAGCACTGATTTCACAATGCCTGGGACACAACCGGTGGGATGAAGGAGAGTGGGTTTTAACTGAATTTGGGCAGTGAGAGTGGCTGTCAGGAAGGCTGACTTTCTGCAGAAGGGAAAGCAGCTCATCACAGAAGAGCTGCCCCTACTTTTCATTAACAAAGCTCACTGCCCTTGCCGAGTCTATTGTTGTTTTTTCATGCCCTGAACTGTTTCTTTACCAAATCTAGGTTTTTTTTTGTTTGTTTGTTTGTTTTTTTGTTTTTTTTACTTTGCATTTGCCACTTATATGTGATTTGGCATGGCGATTCATGGCTCTGTTACCGTAAGACTGAATTCCTGCAATGGAGGATGAGGACGGAGGCAAGTTGGAGACTCAGCTTGTGCAAATATGACACCTTTGTATCCTTGTGAAGATGAGCCACTACCACCCCAAGCATTGACGTTCTGCTTGGCTCCCAGGATATTGGCTGTGGTCTGGCTCATCAGAGCCGTGTGTTAGTTACTACCACCCTTGATTCACTACAGCCAAGCCTTTAAGGCCAGGTCCTGCTCATGAAAGCTCCTGTATAGGTACCTTTGTCCTGTGATTCATACAGCTGTATTTGCATGCAGTTATATTCCTTCCTCTGAGTTCAGCCACGGCTTGCCAGTCAGCATGCTGTTGTTACGTTAATAGTAGATGCCAGGCCCCTCGGTGTTGCTTATTGTTCTGCTGAGGTTTGGTTTTGAGAAATGCTATCCGCCTCCCACTTCAGCTAAAGCAAAAGGCAGTGTTCTATGCAGAGAGAGAGAATTCTATGGTCCCTCATGGACCATAGTTATAAATAATATTTGCAGTTATAAGTAAACATGGAAAATTCAAGCATATTCAGCTTTTTATGTTCCTTGACGCTCTAGTTTTGTCTCCAGTCAAGAATAGGTATTTTCACTGCTGAAACCCTCAGAGGCTGCTTTCTGGTGTGAGCGTTCTCTTGGTGATTCACTTCTCTGGGCTCCTAAGCAGTTGGTTTGCTCAAGGTGGTGTAGCTGTTATTATCCTTGAGAGTAACACACAGGTCAGGCTGATGTAGATAACAAAGCAGACACTGTTTAAAAAAAAAAACCTCAGTTCTGAGAGCCAGTGTTGTTAATCCTTGATCTTCACTGCCTTCCTGCAAACTTGACAGTGTGCTTCAAGGATAGACTGCTGGTATTTTCAGTTTTAACTAACAGGCAGTCATACTGTGGGATACATATTGAGATATCGTTAGGATCAGAATTCCTAAACTGTGTTATAATCTTACCTGGGATCACATCTGAGATTTCCCAGTCAGCACAGGACTCCCTCAGATCCGATAGCAGTCAAAGCTCAAGTTGGCAATCACAGAAAACAGGAAGAATTTGAAACTGGGATCAGAGTTGGTGATGTAATTTTGTCTTTAACAATAATGGATATCTCAGGGATTTGCTGATGCTTTGACTTCTTTTTTAAAGGTGGGCCTAGATATGAAGGCTGTTTCCAACTTTTTCTGATTCCTCATGGTAATTATATTCAACTCAGTTCTACAAGGGCAAATGGTACGGAAGAGCCCAGGCAGAAGACAGATGTAAGTAGTACAAAACAAATACACATCATGTTACAAGACCGTATGGGCAGGTTCAGCCTTTCCTAAATGTGGGGGCTGCACCCTCACAGAGCCTCTGCCACATCCCGTCAAATGAACAGTGCTTCATCTTCTAGTGCTGGGGAGAAAAATGTCCCCTTGTGGTGCACTCTAGTGAAACTGTATCTGTAGGACAGACTGAATTTGTTATGTGCATGTTGGGAAAATGAGGTAAAGAAAGTGAAAGAGATTATAAACATAAAAAAATGTGCACATTTATTTTCAACCCAGCATGCTACATGTAGCGCTGTCAGGTTAATTGGTAGTCGACTGCATGACTCCAGGCTCAATTCAAATCCTGAAATTCGAAGACAGCAGAGGTTTTTTTTTAAACTCACTGAGTCTCTCTAAAGACTGAATTTTGGGTGCATTTGAAATTGATTTCAGATCTGACACTTGCAATAAAAACATGTATTATACGGTGGAGATTTGATTTGTGAGATGAAGCTCAATCTGTGGCATAACACAGAGCCTTGGGTGGCATGGTTTAGTGGGAGGTGTCCCTGCCCATGTCAGAGGGGCTGGAACTAGATGATCTTAAGGTCCTTTCCAACCCTAACTATTCTATGATTCTGTGATTCTATGATTCTATAAATTGATAATGGACCAGCACACACAATGCTTGTTGTTCCAAAATCAAAGCAGATACACAAGGGTGAGAATGAAGATGTGGAAAAGTTGAATGCAGTCTCAGGCTTTTCCCATAGGTAAGAACAAATCCCTTGAAGCCTCTCCCTTTCTAATTTTAGTGATAGAGTTGGTGCTTTTGCAGGAATTTATAATTGCTGATGATTTCTTTACTCAGAACTTGCGTGACTTGTTTAAACAGCATTGCAGTTCTGGAGTTCTTTTGTAACATCTTAGGAGGGTACAAAAGTAATGTAAGACAGACTAGGCCTGACCCCAGGGGAGTTGATACGGGTTCAAAAAGTCTTATTTGCTCATTCTTTCTGCAACTCAAGGACAGCCATCATGTTTTGCACCTGGAGTACTACTTTGTCCAAGGCACAAGTTGTCCCCAAATACTGCTTTCCGTCTTCATGTCGTTCTATGGGTCTGAAAAGATCTACATGGGTTACACATGTATATTCTCTGAAAGGATGTCCTTGTTTTTCCTGTCACTGCCATAAATGCTCCCCTAAAGGTCATGCAATATAGAACAGGAAAGTATTGTACTTCTGGAAGTGGAACATCTATATACTTCCCTTGCAGCACGACAGGTTAAAGCCAACATGATTTTAATTGCCTGTAATATCCTTGTTGAAAAGCTAGTGGATTTCTGGAACAGAAGCATACTGCAGAAAGTCTGTACAAGTTTAATCCCCTGATCTGCACAGACTGTCAGGGTGCTTTTGAGCAAGTTAGTTGGTCTCCATGTAACTCAGTATCTTATGAGTACAGCTAAAATGAGAACACTTCCCTATGACCCTTTTATGGTGAGAATTGCATTAAAGACTGTAAAATACTTGTAGTCTGCAATGGTCAAGCCATGTGTACCATTAAAGTAGCTGTTAAAATACTTGAATAAACAATCTGACCAGAAGAGCCTCTCCATGAGGTATTGCAGCCATTGCTTTGTCTTCCTTTGCCAGCATGCTGTACTGCCTTGTATGTCACTGTTAATCATTTCCCTTCCTGAAAGGATTTGTTGAAGGAGCACTGTTTTACTCCACTTCAGACAGTGCAGGTTGGCTAAAATCCCTGGGAATGCTCATCACAGACAGTCAGCTTTGAGATGATGCAAATACCTCATGGGGACCTGCTAGCCAGAGGAACTTGGTACTTGGGCGTTAACTGAAGATTGTCAGGGCTTCTGTACCGTCCTAGATCAGCACACTTCATTGTAGTTCTCTGCATACTGCATCTTGCATCAGATCTGTCCCATTAAATCAGTGGAATTATTTAAATAAATTATTTTTATTAATTTATTATATGAAAAATTTTCGAGCAAATTCCTTTGATGTGTGATATCCTAATCACACCCGCAGGGCATTAGCAGGCACAAGGCACATCTGAGTGTCTCTAATTCCCTAGTGGTGTGATTATATCTCATAATATTCACAACCCCCTGGAGCTTCTTTGCTAGTATAAATAAATCAATTATTTAAGTCAAATACTTTGATCATTAGAAGCTGCCAGTGCGTGCTTGAATGCCTGAGCTGTGTGATTCACCAGGAATGATCTTGCTTCTCAAAATGCTGAGCAGCTGAGCCGAGTGCTACCAGCACTTCATTTCAATCTGCTTTATAAATTAGATTAGAAGTCAGTTTCCAATACTTCATTCTGGATAGCAAAGAAGGGAGAACTTTAGAGGGGTGGAATTGTGAGATATCGCTGCCAACAGATCCTTTTATCATTTAACACTGCTGTCATAGGTTAAATTTGAGCTACTGTTCATATTAACTAATAGCTATTATAGTGAAAACTGACACAGGGATTCTAGCTAATGCACCATGAACCTGGTTCACACACACCGCATCATATTATCTATTATTTGCACATATGGATGGAAAGAAGTTTTGAGTCACTTGGGATATATGGTAAATTATCATTTTATATTATATTAATGAAGTGCTAATTGCTCCTTGCAACCTTTTTTTATGCAAATTGAGTGGGTCCTATTTGCATTGTCATGTAACCACTGTATTACCTTGCAGCACTTTCATTAGGCTGAGGCAGCACAGAGTTCATCAAGGAAAAATAGTAATTGTGAGATAATTAGTTGTGAAACTAATACTGTTTAAAGTAGAACAGAAATAATTCAGTTGACCTTGGTTTGGCTTGGGAATATTTTTTACTAATAGGTTTAAAAAATATCTTTCATTCTGCGTATGTTAAACTGACATCTTACATACACAGCTCCCTGCTCCAATATTTTCTTTTTCAGTTCCTGTTTGTCAAGGGGTTTCGCATCTTCTAATGAAACATGAAACTTAGTTGAAAAAAAAAGAGTTGTTTATTGCTGGCCGTTTATCTCTAAAGTGAATCACAAGTCTGGAACTCTGTGAAATTGTGAAATAGGAAAATTTCTCTAAAGCTATTGAATTTGCAGGTGTCCAAACAGCAGCAAAGTCTGTAAAAGAATGTAAGAAACGTTAAGGATGATACAGTCTTAATTATTTGCAGACTCTTGTTAACTATCACAGATAAAATTCTCCATAAGAGTAAAATGTAGTACGTGTTATTTTCAGCCAAGACAGGCATTCTGAGGGAGAGGTAAGAAGTGGGAAAAAATGAGGGGAAAAAAAATTGAAAAGTAGTTTCATGCTAACTCTGGGTTGTTTCCATGATTGTGGAAGAAGCATGATTAATTTCTGAAGCCTCTGTGGGCAAGGTGTCCAGACAAAATGACATAAATCTACATTAGAGGATTTAAATGCTTTTGCCAAGAAAAAAGTGAGCTGAACTTTAGGTAGCACAGCCCTTTGCCAGTCAAGTCAACCAGATTTAGGGCCTGCACCTTTTCTTTTTCAGTGAAGTATTGGATACGGACAGATTGCAAGTTACAGCCAAAGGCGGTATGACAGCTTTATTGCTGTTGCATGGGCAACATATTGTCTTTGATTGGGAAATAAGCTGTGGACTTACAGAAAGGTTTGTACAAAGAAATGCCTTCAGATATTTGTATTATTAAAACAAAGGTTGTTAATACAGATTGATTAGTATCTTCATTCTCTTTCTTTTGGCTGTGTATGCCAATGCATTTGTGTAAACATAGACCATATTTATTATAAGGTAGTCCCAGCTTTAGAGCAAACTGAATGTAGAAACTGTGCCTAATATAGTCTGTCACAGAATATAGTTTCAATTGTCCACAGTGTGTGTGTGTGGAATTGGAATTCACACCTCACACAGACATAATGAATGTAAAAGCAATTGCATAGGACATTTTCCCGGTGGGCATGAAGCAGTGCAGCAAGTAAACACCTTCTTTGCTGGTTTAAGAGTCTTAGCAGCAGCAGCAGCTCAGCATTTTTTTCAGACCCGAAGTCTAGATAGGGCCTTTTGAAATTGCTTTGTTTTGCTCTGTATGTGATCCTGGCTGATGTAAAAAATGCAGATCGTCTGGATTTCAGATGTATTCTGTCCACCCAGGGGCCAAACCAGAAATACTTGATTATGGTGCTATTTGCATCTGATTTGTTCTGAACCGGAGGAATTGTATAGGTGAGCTGGACAGAACTTGCTTAGTGACATCATCTGCTTTGTGCTTTTACAAAATGCTTTGCACCCTGTCTACAGAAGCTTACACTTGGTGAAGTCTCCGTGGGGAGAAATATTTTTTTTTTTTTTCCTTTTCTGTCTTAAAAATACATTGCAGCTCTTCCTGTCGCATTCTGGGAGACTTCAGTAGATGGTTGTGAGAACACAAATATTATTTTATTGGTAAAGCCTGAATGCTTCAGCAAAGTCTTACCTGGCAGCAGTGCACTGAAGCTTGCAGTATAGTGTGCGTCAGAGCTGAAGTTTTAATGGGCTTGTTAGTTGCCACAATAAATGTGGACCCTGCGGGGGATTGTTTACTGTATGTAAGAAGATGAGGAGGTCCTGGGTGTGGACAGGAGAAAAGGGCAATGTGGCAACCTCAAGAATTTTATGGGTTTCTGTTAAACAAACAGCTGCGGTAACATCAGGAGGTTATCAGGAGCCTGAGGAGATCCAAGAGCAAAGCTCTGGTACATAGAGGAATCAGATGCACAAACATTCTTCCTTGCTGACAGGTAGGGCTGCACTGGTATATTTTTCTGCTAGTCCAAATGAGTCCGGGAGAGGAGTTGAGTAGAAAAAGGAACTTTTGGTAAATGAGGAAGGCTGCTTCTTGCTTCACAAGCCACTTCCTGTGTTACATGCTCATCTCTTTTCCAGGCATTGCTGACAGGAGTCCTTGCTGAGCTCTGGAGGGTGACACTGGGCTATGAAGCTTTTAAACTCTAGTTGAGAGT